TATCCAGACATAACTACAGGAACCAGGATAATGGAAAGGAAACTGGGAGGTATAGGAAAAGAAAGAACCTGAAAGGGAAGAACAATAGGAAACAGGCCTTAATAAGGGAGACAGAGACAAAAACTGGGTTGGAGTGGGGAGGGAAGGGTATAAAAGGAACCTAGGGCATAAGGGGAAAGAAGGAGCTCAAGAGAGATAGGACCGTAGGAGAAGGGTATTATTAAGAGTAAAAGGGGGGAGATGGGGGCACCTTAAGTGGGAAAACTATGGTGGAGGGGTGAGACAATGCAAAAGATAAATAATGCCTAGCTAGTTTTGAAAATCAGAGGGAACCATATTACTCCTACAACCTACTGACAAATTATACATAGCAGATCAAGAAATATATGTCTAGGTAAGTTTTATCTGAGAACAATTGGTCTTGGCCCAAGATTTATCTACATGGCACATAGTAATTAAAAATACCAGACTCATGGAACTAACCTTCTAGGATGTTTAAGAGACATACTTTGAGGCCTATAATAATTTGGTCGGAGGGACGTAAAGGACAGTTTTTGCTCCTTGCCCTCCTAGGTTGACTAGTTCCAGGGGACTATGAGCATCTCTCAAAATGTCCTGTAATGGTAGTGGGTCACCTGTTTTCTTGATCAAGGAGGCCTAGGAGACCCCATGAGATGGACTTGAACCAGTGTCCAGTCTACAAAGAGGAGGGTCAACACAGAGGAATCATTTCCTTCATGCTTCCAAGCGAAGCCAATCATGGTCAAGCAGGACCTTTGACTTATCTTCACATAGGCAGAAGTGGTAAAAGAAAATAAAATAAAGGGAGCTAGGGGCTCCTTCCAAGCCCATGTGACCCCTGAGAATCAGATCCTCAAATGACCTTAGGAGCAAAAGTAAATTGGTTTATCTGGGCCAACTGTACGGCCTTAAACACCCAAAAGGAAGTATAACCAAAGATTAAATGGGCCAATATAAATTCTCAAGAGTCTATATGCATAGCTAAAGGCTGCATAACAAGCAACAATGCCAGATAGGAGATACCTTCTTTTGAGTTGTTGGCCAGGGAGTTGTTGGCCAGGGTGAACAAAGGGACTCCCAAATAGTAACCCAGCATAAAACTTGGAAAATGAATAGCAGACCCCATCTTACCTAAAGGACTATTGACAACTGATTGCTGCTAGAAGAGGAACAGCTGACCCTCCTAAAACAAAGACCTCTAGATAGGCTGACTAGATTCAACAGAAGGGCAAGTAGTGGGGATTGGCTGGGGTGCCAACAACACAGCAGAGAGTAGCAGGGATATCAGAGTATAAGGGCGCTAGTTGGGGAATGGAGGCTATAGGAGGGTGCCAACTGAGTAGTGGGTATATAGTCGAATAAGATGGTTTGAGATGTTCTGTGTGATACACACACACACACACACACACACACACAAAATCAACAAATTTTTAAAGAATGTATTACATTTGAGGAGGAAGCATGGAAATTTACATTATGTTAATTAGTAGAGGTGATAAACGTTACCACTGAAATCCACCAGATGACTTCATAGACATACACAGGCACTAAGGGTCCAAGTGCAACTGATTATGACTAGTAATAATCAGATTACAGATGCATGTGCCAACTTCTCAGTGTTAGTAGGAAAAACAATGAGTCTTTCTGCAAGGAACAATATATTCTAAAATGAAATGGAGATCTTTTTTAAAGATTAAAAAATCAATTTTATGTCTTACAGGGCTTATACTGATTTCAATATTGTATAACTGTATTAACTCAACTGTGAACCTAGAAACTTGCACCCATTTGTGAAAGAGATGTACTCTTGCTCTGGAGTATATTACTGAATATGTTAAATCTGTAATGAAATGCTCCCTCTAATCAAGTAGTTATTAAAAATTTTTAAAAATGATTAAAAATAATCTTCAAAGCATAAAAATTGGCTCCTTAATAATTAGTAGATGTGAAAAACATTACCACTGAAATCTACCTGAAGACTTTATATCCATGCTCCAATGCTAAGGAGCTCAGAAAGTAACCAACTGTGACTAGTAATAATCAGATATATAGAGAAAAACCTCATTTAATTTTATATCTTATAGGGTTTATACTGAGTATAATATTATATAACTGTAACAATTCAATTGTAAACCTAAAAAATTTACAGCCAATTTTGAAAAAGATGGATCTTAGCTCAGAAAATTGTTATTGAATATGTCAATGCTGTTGTAATGAAATGCTTCTTCTAAGTATGTGGTTATTAAATAAATAATTAACTGGAAAAAAACTTTAATTTTGAATTCATATCTATTACTCCTTTACTTAATCTTCACTATTTAAGAGGTACAAATATGATCCTACTTCATAGAAGAGGAAACTCCATCTTGAGAGGCTGAGATATCTAAGTGAAGGAGGTAACAGGCAGTGGCTATAACTTAAATTTTAATATGCTTCCAAACCTGTGTTCTTCATTACCAGACTGTCATTCCCTTCAACAAGCTCACTTGATACTAACCATCAAGCAATTGCCACTGTGTAGCTCTGGAAGGTATTATTTCAAATATGGTAATCATCCCATAAATATCATAATCATACATAATCATATCATAATACATACCATAAAATGTTTATAGTCTACTTCTGTTAGTTAAACTGTATAGGTAAGTTGTTCATGAACTTTATATATAAAATTCATGTCTGAAACTGCATTTTTGTTCGAGAACCCATTCACTAAATTACATACATAATTAAAATTTTCTTTTCCATGACTATGAGCTAGGAAGACAAAATTAGCTAAGCAATAGAAAATGTAATTGATTAAAATATACTTTTTTTAATCATAAAAATCACCAAGAAGATAACATCTACTTAGGAAAAAAAGAAAAAAACTGACAACTTTTCCAGGCTCAAAACTGATCACATTGGATGTTTAATGGTATATGTCACAAAGGCCATCAAGTTTAACCAAGTCTTCTAATGGAAACTATAAATGTATTATAAAATAAAGCCATTGTCATAAAGGTTTCATAACTTGATATTCTAAATTGAAGGAGATTAAGTGACACCCAAACTAAATGCAGTGTCTGATATAGGATTAGATTCTAAGCCAGGGTCAGAAGCTGCTATAAAGTCCATTAGTAGGCCAACTTGTAAAATTTGAATATGAGTTTTCATCAGGTAAAAGTATTTTATAAGCATAAATCTTTTAAAATGTATTGTGGTTATGTTGAAAATGCCAAATATTATAGGCAAAGGGGCACAGTATCTGCAACTCATCCTTAAACACGTCATAAAAAATGAAGGAAAATAGAGAAAAAAATTAATGTGGCAAATTCTTAACTACTACAAAGATCTATGTTACATAGTAAGTTGTATCTCACCTCCACTCCCAATTTATAAGTGATATTCTGGTGTCACAGAATATGCCTCTGGTTGGGAATAGAACCTTTGAAGAGTCCCTTAAGAAATGATCAGGATACAGAGACTCAAAGGGAAACCATGATAAGACAAAAGTGAGGCCAGCCATCTCCCAGGCCAGGAAAGAAACGGCTTTAGGAGAAGATAGAGCTGCCAACACTGTGATTTCAACTTCAACTATGAAAGAACAAGTTTCTGTTGTTTAAGCCACCCAGTCTGTTGGTATTTTGTTCTGGTAGTGCTAGGAAACTTATCTGGAACTAAAGGAATTCAATATGTCATCAAAACTTTTCAAAGTTTGAATTGTTTTCAGAATTAAAAGTCAAACTTTTTAAATAAAGGAAATTGTGGCTGCCAAGTATACAACTGACTATGCAAAGGAAATAAGAAAATGAAAACTTTCTAGACTGCACTGTAAGAATTAAACACATCAACTGTGCAAATGCTAATGTGCTTTTGTGACTACCAATAACGAGTAAATTATTCATGAAGACATACCTTTATAAAAATTAATTAGGGAGAGACTAGGTTGTACACTTAAATTCACAGCTTAATTTTAAATATAAGGTGCTCTGGAGAACCCAAAAAAGTTTAAGATTGGACATATTGCTGAATGTACCACATTTTCCTACTGCTGCCAGACACTGGCTTCAGATACAACATGAAGAATTCGCTATACAAGCAACAAAACCCAAACATGTCATTTGCCAGTAGGTCTTCTTTTCTAATGGCCCATTAGCTGTTCAGCAGCTTGGAGGCAGGCATTTTTTCGGGGGTTGTATCGGGTAGGGAATATAGATGGAAGCTACTGCCCCTTTAAAGACTTGGTTGGTATTTCTTCAAAGTTGAGTATGGTGGATGTTTGTTTCATATAAGGTCTTCTAGAGAACTTTACAAAGAACATACCCAAATTTCCAAGTCACTCTGATTTACTTTTTTCAGCTGGCCTAGAGGAAGCTCAGTTCACTGTAACACAAACTTTTCAGCTCAGATGGTATTTCTGTCCCCTGCCACCTTTTTTTGACATGCGATATATGGCCTCAAAACGAGCATGCTCAAATGTCTATAACTCCTACTTTGAATGATCTGATACCCATTTCTAGCCTCTGTGTACTGACCTCCATACACAAATAAATAAAATAAATCATTTTAAAAGTTATTAAAGAAATACACTGTAATTTGCAGGATAACCACTAAAGAAACACCTCACCCAAGAACGTCATAAAATAATCCAACTTTTTAACCAGGGATTAAAATAACAAGAAGAAATGCTTACTCCTCAATGTGCAGTGTCAACAGCAGACATGAAGTGACTATACATAATAGGTCACAACTACATACAAAAAACAAGCAGAGAGGAAGCCAACTGAAAATATCAGTACACAGCAGTACTCAGCAGCAAAACTACCACACTTTTACTTATCCATAACTTTTTAGAAATACTATTACTGAGGACTTACCACATGAGTAGTTTTTAATGTATTGCCATCAAATCTGCATAAGCTGGAGCTCTCTTCAAAGAAAATATCACATTCTTCTAGTTCTTGAGCATTACAAGGAGGTTTTTCTTTGTCTGGATTTGGATTCTTAGGCCAAATATAAAAGCAATGTAAGTAACATAAATAACAGGAAAATGGATTTATTCATCGTTAAGAAACTCCAATGGACTTTCATATGAACATTTGAAAATTGCCCTGTTCTGACTTTTTTCTACTTCCCTGTCTAGAACTTGTAATGCTAATTCTTGCCTTTACTTCTCCTTCACGTCTCCTATTCATGATTTAAGGACTTTCTTCTTCCCTTGGAGACAAGAGTTATGCAATTTGGAAGTCTTTTAGATAGACCCACTGAAGGGGAACTACCATTGCCTCACCCTGCACCCCTGTTCAGCATGGAAGAGCCAGAGTCGTCTGCCACCCGATTCCCTATTGGCAATTTGGGTAACCTCTTCAAGGAATTGGTTAGGCAGTTAGGGTAAAAAGACCCCAAAGAAATGTAGCCAGTTTCTTAGCAACATACTCTGTTCCAAAGGCCAAAAATGTCAAAAGTATTTGGGAGCCCATATCTCCTTAAAAGATTTTAGGGTTACCCCTTCAGAGGAGGGAATGTTGGAGGGGAAGGAGTGGACATGGATTTGATCAAAACCCCTTATATACATGTATGAAATTCTCAATGTTTTTGTAAAAATTTTAAAAAAGAGTAAGTTAAAATATTACAAATTGTAATGTACTTAAATAATTTGATTGTTACAAATAAATACATGCTGATATTTCAAAAAATTGTTGACAGAATGATAGTAAAAAAAGGAAATTAGAACAGCTGAACATGGTGCCTTATGCCTGTAAAGTCAGCACTGAAGAGGTCTAGATGAGAACCACCATGACTTCCAATCCATCCTGGGAATACAGAGAGCTTGAGTCCAGTCCAGCTTAGAGTGAGACCCTGTCTCAAGAAGTCAAAACCAACCAGCCAAAGAACCAACCAACCAGCAACAACAACAAAGGACCTTGGCTCCCATAAACATACTCTATATACTTAAACATAAAAAGAAAGCATAAACATGTTGAAAGATGGAAAATATGAAAAGGAACCAAACTAAACTTCTAGGTACAAAAGTGTAATGTGTGAACAGAAGGCAAAACATGTGAACCTGACAGGTGATTAGGCATTGCAAAAGTAAAGACCAGTGTTCTTGAAAAAGCAAGGGATAATATGCAAAATGAAGCATAAAGACAGAACAAATAAAACAGTACAGAGCACCAGGGATCTACCTATGTCTATAAAAAAAAATCATAGGACATAGCAAGTCACAATAATGAGATTGTTGAGAAGTAGTAATAAAATGAAAATACTAAATGCAGTCAGGAGAATCATGCATAACTGAACAAAGATACAAATGATAACTGACTTCTCAGTACAAGCTACACAGGCCAAAACAAAATGCAGCATTTCTGAAAAGGAAAAAAGCTGCTAGCCTGAACTGTATTTGCAACAAAAATAACTTTGAAAAAAAGGAACACAAGGTAAATACTTTCACCAATGAAAGCAACAAAAGTGGAGAGAGTTCATCGGCAGTGTAGCTGCACTGCTAGAGACGCTACAGGACGTTCTTCAGGGAGGAAAAAATGTCAGGCAAAAACCTGAATCAACATAGACAAATGTAGAGGAAAAGACAAATGTGTAGTAAGTAAAAATAAAGTCAAAGACTTTATTTTTCTCTCTCACTTTTGATCTTCTTAAAAGGACTAGCCAACTAAGGCTAGAAAGTAATGTATTACAAGGTTTATAATATAGAAATAAAATATATTGCAACAGTAACACAAGAGTTAAAGGAACAGAACTATATTATGTAGTTCTCAAATTATACAATGTAATATTTTTTAAAAGAGAAATGGTAACAAAGATGTAAACTCAACAACCATGAACCCATACATACAAATATTTACCCAAACAAAAACCAGACGTACAGGCACTAAAAAAAATAAAGTAAAAAAATTAACTCTGGGGATAGAAGGGTGGCTCGGCGGTTAAGAACACTGGTTGTTTTTGCAGAAGACCTGAGTTTGAATCCCAGCACCCACATGGCAGCTAACAACTGTCCATTAACTCCAGTTCCAGGGGATCTGATGGCCTCTTCTGTCCTCCCTGGGCATTGCACTACATGGGTGCACTTACCTACATGCAGGCAATACACTCATACACATAAAATAAAAAAATAAAAAATAAAATATTAAAAAAAAATTCTAAGCTACCCCCTTCAAACACAGAAAAAGAATAAAAATAAATTCAAAGTCAACAAATGGAAAAAAATAAATGCAGTAATGAAGTTAAAACTGAAAGAAAAAAAGAAAGTCAAGAAAAACTGATACTCAAAGATGACACTTCATGTTAAAGTTCTGTTCCTTTAAATTTGTGTTACTGTTGCAATGTATTGCAACACGCATAGATAGAAAACCTCCAAGAAAGAAAACACCAAGCTGAGGTGGTTTTAAAATGTCAATACTATAAATTTCTTCCAGAATGGAAGAATATTTCCCTAATCATTTTATGAAGTAGCATTATCTGGATATCAAAAAATGGAAAAAGACATTTTCCTAACAGTTGCAGATAATAAGATTATAGCAAACACATTGTTTGGAGGCATAAGTAACTTTCTCATAAACACCAACATTTCTTTAAAACCACCGAGCTTAAAAGACATTCAGTAGAATTATCTACAATCTCTACCAGTGTCACATTGATCATATTCTCCATGCAGATCATAATAAATATTTGCTGAATGAATGAACCTGAGAAAATGCATCTCCATGGCTAGTTTCAAAAAGGGTTATAAAATCAAGCTTTGTGGTCTTACATAGGAATTCCAATGGCTCTTAAAATTTTTCATTAATACTCTATTTGAGCCATACTTCTCTTTGCTAAAAACATTCACTTTCAATATTTTAGTCTTTCTTTTCTAGCCTAGGATGCATCTAACTCTACACTGTAAATACTTCATAGTCTTCCTTGTCACTGTAATTCAACATGGCAGTAAGTCAGTTTACACATGCTGCCATCATTTTTGGTAAATGATCATACAACAAATGTTCTGGTGTATTGTTGTTTTTCTTTTTTTAATTCTGAAGATATTGAAAGTCATTAATAAATGAATATTTTTCACTTCATGACTAAATGAGTATTATAGGGTTATTGTAATTGTTATAAGGAAATTACTTCTTCAACTAAAAAATTACTGTACTAGGGGCAAACATTCCTCACAGATCTAAAACACCTGATCTATGACTTCAAAAAGAAGCGCAAAAACCAAGCATGGTGGAGCATGTTTTTAGTCCCACTCTAGAGGCAGAAGCAGGTGGATGGATTTCTGTGAGATCAAGGCCAGCCCGGTTCACACAGTAAGTTCCAGGCCAGTTGGGACTACAGGAAGACTCTGATTTAAGACCAAAAAAATAGTACAAAGCATGGAAAGGCAAGGGAGGACTGTAATAAACAGGACTGTGAGAGGCAAGGTAAAATACGGAAATACTGAGCATTAGATTTATAAAAGACGCTAACTTAGGGTACTGAACAATGAAGTAGGGAAGAAGGAGCAACCCCTGTCCCTAGGCCTGGGCCAAGAGTAAAAGAGAAAGGACAAGACCAGATGGCAAAACCTAAATTATGAAATCAAACTGTATGAAGCAGACTCTGGGACATGACCCAGTAGGATACCACAATTGAGCTGGGGTTAAGAAGCAGATCCTCAGAGAGATTATTATCAAACTGCTCAGGAGAGGAAGAACAGAAAAACCCTACACAACCACAAACCAAGATTCAAATCCTTCTTTCCCTCACTAAAAGAATGAGACCTAGAGAACCCCATGACACCCCATGAGAACTGACTCAGTTACAACCTCTCAGGCTGGCAGAGAGGCAGTATGAGCCCTGGTAAAGAAGAATAATCAGCCACAAAGGTAAATGTAAGCATCAACGTAGACACCACAGTCCAGTCCTGGACATAGGAGTGCACACAGGGAATGAGGGGACTACTTAATAAACACAGAAAAAAGTGGCTGACAGGCATATTATGAACTCCACTGAAACATGTATCCACCAATCTGGTCAAACACGTTTGAGTCAGAGACAAAGTAGGCAGGTTTGCCTTCAGCAAAGGTTTAAATGCATGTAACAACAATGGCAGCTAAGGGACACTGAGTGACACTACAGGCAGGGAAGACACTGACTGATGCTGACTTTTCAATTTATTTTACCTTGTCTTTTCAAAGACTATTTACATTTGTGTATTTAAGTATTTGTAGCTTTTCTGACTGGCTTTCTGGTTTCTGGTTAAGACCTTGTGCCTATTCTATGTGCTCTCTCTACTACCTGTCTTCCCTATAACACGTATTTCCCTCACTCCCACTATGCTCTCTCTCCCCATACACTCATGTACAGAGTTTGTAATTCTACTTTTCTATTGCTTTAATAATCTTTAAATTCTGGTTACCTTAACAAACCCCAACTCTCCCCTTCTGTTTACTTTCCTCTCTTCTATTTCTAGTCCATTGATTTTATACCTAGTCCTAATATTTTTCAACTGAATTCTTTCCATTCCCACTCTTAGTAACTAGCATTCTAGTCTACACCAGATTGTCCTTGTTCCTTTATTTTCCAAAAATTACTGGTATTGAGGGATAATTTTTTTAACTATCACTATATTTCACAATAGGTCTATCAGCTGTGGTTGGCCCTGAGAGTGGTGCCAAGCAAGATGTGTGATGCCCTGAACACATGGGCTTAGCTACTGAGCTACGCCCCACTGCAGAGTAGAGGACATCTCAACCCTATTACAACCAGGTCCACCTGAACATTTTGAATAGTTACACTGAAAGAATATATAATTATAATACTCTAAGATTACCTAGTAAATTTTAATGATAACTAGATTATTAGTATATAAATGGTATAATTTCTGTTCCTGTCAGCACTGGTTGAGTCTCCCAAAGAATATATGTAAAGAGATACATAAGTACATATACACGTTCTATACAATATGCTGTCACATTTATGTATACATTCACATAGAGTAAGGCAAAAATATTAGAACTTTAAGCCATACTAAAACAATCAGGTTAATAGTAACTGATGTGTCTTTCATATTAGGAAAGGCAAGCTAATGTATGACATAGAGAAATCCTCACACCACATACTTCCGGATTCTTAAAAAGTGACATTACTATCGTAACTGCTTACCAATTCTTCAGAGGTCAAGTGTATCAAACGTTCGGCTATCATAGCACATTGGGCTGGGTCTCTTATAAGTTCTCCTTGTTTATCACCAATCACCAGCTCTGGCCAAGTCAGTCCTTCATTCTTCTTAATCAATGAAATCTCCAAGCTAACAGATTAAATGAGAAATGTTATGTTGCATTAAGCAACTATACAGACTATATAATCAACAAGAAGCAGAGGGACCTCCTATAAAAATGGCCCACTTCAGTATCTTGTGTGCTGCAATTCCAGCTCTCAGTAGGCTCAAAACAGAGAAAGATTCAAGAGTTTAAGTCTACACTGCCTAGTGAGAGTATATCTCAAAAAGGAGTAGAGAAAGAGAGAGGGAGGGGACGGGATAAGGGAAGAGGAAGAGAAGTATTACCTATTTGGCATCTAGTGAATATTTTACATAAAATCTTACTCATTTTGGTTTTACATGTCATGGAGAACCTGCAATTCAACGGAAAATACGCTAACTTAATAAGTAACATAAAAGTATGACTAGAAATGACATGTCAAATAGCTTGAAGGAAGGGAATGGTAGAGTGAATGGAAAGAGAGAAACTGGACAGTGCAGTTGTGATGCAGGTAGACAGTGTGTTACTGAAGGTAACTGACAAATACAAGGAGCATTCTCTATCAGACACTGGGGAGGGGAGGTGAAGCATAAAAAAGAAAGAAGATGCCTACTGCTAGAGGGCCCTTTGGGATGTGGAACCAGCAATTTAGTTTCATAAACAGCCTTAACACATTTATCAAGAGAGGAGACAGGTTAAGACAGTGCCAATGTCTATTTTTAAAACATAGGTTCTAAAGAACTGAAAACAAATGTAGGAATTAGAAAACAACTTTGTAATACAGGAAAAAATGTCAATGTAGTCCATGTAACTTTTAAAAACATAATTTTGTATTTCCAAGCCATTACACAGAAATTCCACATGAACTAAACAGGGCCTGTCAGGACCTCTGAAATCAAGACCTGACGTTGGGGGGAAAAGGGAGAGCTGAGGAAGAGCAGACCATGACAGAGAGGCAGCTGGCCCATGCTTCATTGGAACAAGAAGAAAATTCAAGTGACACACTTTATGGGCAACTGTCACTGTAATAGAAAAATGGGGTGATGGTAGCTGCTCCACAGGAAAGGGCCTGTTCCATGTGCCATCTTTGATAAACGTGTGCCACTCTAACCAACCAAGTAAACAATTCCAAGAGTACAATAATAATTACTGCAATTATCAAAGAGAACATGCAAATTTATCATCTGTTCTTTTTCAAAATTGTTATCATCACCAATTTGTGAATTATAGCACTTAAAAAATTCTGAAACTATTTTAAGGGACCATACAAAATAATCTCTCAGTTATGCAATAAGAGTTCTTATCAGTAATAGTGAAAATTATCACCATAATCAATGACGCCCAGACTGACCTATATTTTCTAAGGAATAGGCTAATCTGATGATAACAAAAATAATGATAGCAGCCTATACTTACCTAATGCTTTACCACACGACAAGTACTATCTTAAGCTGGTCACGTTTTACCTCGTTTATTGCTTAATGCACCCAAATAAAGAAAGAACTGTCTTCATGCCACTTTCTAAGAATGAATGGAAAAACACTAAGAGGCTGAATCCCTTGACAAAGTTAGAAGCTAGATGTCAGTTAGCCTCTTATCCATGTGCACCTCTATTATACTAGTCTATCACTCTAAAAACATGTAAACACTCTCAAAGAACTTTGACCAAGGGATCCGAATGTTTAGCTGCTACCTAAAGAGATTTGAAAAAGTACAATCAGAGTTACAAAGGACTTCTAAACCACTCTTAATTTGCACACTTAGATAATGTGGCCCTTTTAGCACATATGCATTTCCAGATTTGAAAACTAGAACCATTCTACTATCCAGGCAAAAAGAAGCACAACATGCATAATGAACTACAAATGCTTAATGAATCCTTCTAAAGTGATGAACAGTAGCTATTTGAAAATGAGAGATGAACAATCAAGTGAAGAAAATTTTGTTTTTAAAGTCATTTGTACCTCACATTTACCTTTTGTAACACAGAATCTAGCAAATTTATTGTGAGAACAAAACCAGATTATGTTCCTATACTGAGCACTGAAACTGATACATGGAGTCTAGTCACTCTCCAAGGCCTGCTGGATTACTGCTCAATGCCATGCATTTAACAATATGTTCCAGCTGCTTACCAATTTCAAGTGCTACCCTCAAATCTTTCACATGCACATAAACATGACCATATAGATTATATGGAGAGATAAAATAATTTTAAGAGAACCTTATGGATTACTGTTTTTCATGGATTAGAAAGTATAACTCACCAAATGTCAGTAACAATAAAATGATTATAGACACCTGCTTTTAGAAATCTTAAATTTTCTTTTACAAGTTCCTATGATTTAGACTCATAATAAACTTACATAGGTCACACCCTCTAATCAAGAACTCTGACTTACTTTAAAACATCTACAGTCCTTTATACAAAATTAACCCAAATCCAAAGATTTATAATGTACTTTAAATCTACAAAATTTTGTAGATGAAATATGATTATTTGAAACATTAAGTGCCTAATTCTATTCATAAATACATTATGAACTCAGTTATCATTAAAACTTGATCTTTTATGAATGCAAGTAATTTTATGAACTGAAATGATTGGAGAGAGAAGAATTTGGGACAACAGTTTTCCAAAGAGGCAGGTGATTAAAGTTTAATTCTAATTTAAACTTTAGTTTTCTCTAACCGCCCCCCAATTTCTGTTCCTTTTACTGAAGTATAGTTTATAAAAAAACTTTTGAGATTCTAAGTATAGAATTCATTGAGTTTAACAAATGTTTCTACTATCCAGGAAGTTTCTTTATAATGTTGTTCAGTTAATTCTGCTATTCCTTAGAGTAAACACTACTCTGACTTGTACATAGCTTTTGTTAGTTTTATAACTCTACATATGTTAAATCACACAATATTTAGGTTTCATCTCAGGCTTTTTCCATTCCTTATGTTTTTTGATTCATTCATATTGCTGTATTCATCAGTTTCATCTTTATATAACAGCACAATTCCATTGTATGAATATGCCACATGTGTTCATTCATTCACCTTTTCATAATCAATCGAATTGTGCATTTTTCTGGCTTTTATAAGCAAAACTGCCAAAAATATAGTTTTAAGCAATTTCTCTGCCTTTATTTTGATTTTTAATAGGCCTTTTCATTTCTCATTGGTACACACTGAGAATGTGAATCGCCAGCTCACAAAACAGGTATATGTTTAACTTAGAAAGAAACTGCTGAATAATCCGCCACCACACTGCAGTCAGAACAGCAAGGCAGAAGTTGCTCGTGCTCCACCTATGTCCTCGCTAACACTCAACACAGCTAATCTTTCTGATTCAGCCACGCAACATGTCTCATTCTGGCTTCACTTTCCCAATGAAAAGTGATGAGTACTTTTTCATATGCTTACTAGGCAATCATGTTTTTCGTTGTTTTTTGAGGCAAGGTCTCACATAGTCCCAGGCTGACTTCAAACTCACCATGACCCTAGTAAGTTCGGCCTTGAACTGAGGTTGGCTTTGAGCTGCTCTTCTTCCCTCTACTTATAGAATTCTGGGAGCACAGGCATTTCACCAGGCCTAGTTTATGCAGTGCTAGGGATGGAATGCGATGCTTTGTGCATGCTAAATAAGCACTCTATCAACTGAAATATACCCTAAGCCCCTTGGTTATCTTACAAATTTGTAGGGCTTTCTTATACATTGAAAATGTAAGTCTTTTGTTTGATATGAGTACTGTGACTATTTGTAACTGTTCATCTCTTGCCTTTAAATTTTTTAAAGGTTACTTTAGATGAGCACAAATTTTCATTTTTTGTTGTAAATATTTTATTATTTTTATTTTATGTGTATGAGTATATTGCCTGCATGTATGTAAGAGCATTCATGTTGTGCAATGCCCATGGAATTTAGAAGAGAACATCAGATACCCTGGAACTGGAGTTACGAGTATGGTTATTAGCTGTCATGTGCGTGCTGTGAATCAAACCTGGGTCCTCTCTAAGAGCGGCCAGTGCTCTTAATCGCCAAGCCACCTCTCCAGTCCCATATTTTCAATTTTTTAAAACTGTTTTTGGTTGTTTTGAAGAGCTGTGGCAACTCCATTTTAAAACCAACCTCTATTTTATTAAACACCCCAGTTGAATCTTTCCAGTAAGAGTGACTAGTTCCCAGAATACCCAGAGACCAACTGCCACAAACGGTCAAAACTGCCTCCCAACCACAAACGGTCAAAAAAGCCTGACAAACAACCAATCACCTATGGCCCCGTACATTCACCCCACCATGACGTAAGGCTGTGGTGGGCCCCCTATAAAAGGCCAGCCCAAATGATGGACTGGGCCTTCTCATAGAGCTGGGGCGCCAGTCTCTGTGTTAAGGTCCCTACCGCGGTTTGTACTTTTGTTCAATAAACCTTGCTTTTGCAGTTTTGGAAGTGTTGGGCAGTCACTGGTCTCTTTGGGGTCCTGAGGCTGAAGTATAACATTTGGGGGCTTGTCCAGGATCCCCAGAGACCCCCGGACCCCGACCCCAAAATTGTGCTCAACCAGCTGGGTATGTCTTTGTGTAACTAGTTTGTCTGTTTGTCTTCTCTGCACTTTCGTTTTGGTCGCGGCCATCTGAATTTGGTTTTTGTCGCTGGAATGTTAGCAGATGTGCTAAGAAAGCGACCTGGAGGATCCGGGAGACGTCCCCATCCTCGTCTGGGTGGGTGCCCCACACCGGGCATTCTTCCAGGACGTTTGTCCATCTGAAACCTCAGAGGACCAAACAACCCTGTTGGGACACATGTGTCCTATCCGTACGGTCTTTGGCATAATCGAGCCAGGAAACCCGCGCAGGCGGGAATCCAGACCATCTACGAGCCGCGGCAGTCTGTTCTGGGCCCTCTGTCTGTCTGCATCCTTCTTGTGTCTTGTGATCTTCGTTCTAACTTCCTTGTTGATGAAATGGAGGAGACTGACAAACATCATGGGCAATACCCCCTCCTCCCCTCTGGACCTAACACTAGCCCATTGGGGGGACATAAAGCCTATTGCTCAT